TGAAGTATTGTTTGTTTATTTTGTTTTGAAAAAAACGTAAACAAAATGGGTTGTTTTTACGCAAAAACAATGCTCACAAAATACATTTTGTATTGCACTAAAACGCTGAAAATGGCATTTCCAAGGCTCTGAAATTCAAAATTTGTCAGGGGGAGAATGCCTCGGACCCCTCCAGGTGCGGAGCGCCTCCGACGTTTTATGACTGATGTTTGAAAAATCCTAGATCCGCCCCTGGCTTTGACGTCACATGCAAACACTCTATACTTATAGTTCAATGCGTAATAGAAATTATAGTAACTAAAAGTAGTTTCGGCACCTCAATGGCATTGACATTGATTTTCTGGAGGTTTTTGTGTATGCCGTAAACAAGTATTAAAAATCTTAAGTCTAATTGCATCGATAATATAACTTATTAGTTCTAAGTTCATTGTTGTGTTTGGCACGGACGCTCGTTCGGATGCTGTTGCTAACTTCTCATTCAATTCTGGTAGCTTATTATGCTAGTTTGGCAAGTTTTTCTCTGATATGTAGTTAATAAGAAGTTTCCAAAATTTAACTTTAATGTGCTTTCGCGATTTTTCATTAGTGAAGAAACACTCGCGACCTTCAAATACTGTAATAAATTCGCATTCTTCAGAAAATCTTTACCAAATACTGTATCGGAAATTTTTAATATGTACGGAATAGCACAGGGATTGTGTTGAGATGCTTTAAGATGCTCTTTCCAACATTCAGATTTTTGGTAGAAACTGAAAAGCATTCCACAAAGGTATCCTCAATTTGGACAATGTATATTAAATAGCATGATAAAAGAGCATTCAATCCACCAAAGTTGTACTCTTTACAAGCCTTGAAATAGCAAAACAATTTACTATCGCTGTCCAGGGTGTTTAAAACCAAAGCTGTTTTATATTGGACGCAGTTATTTATTTTAAAAGCTTTGCTTAGCAAATATCCTTAACATAGGCAACAGCATTTCTAACAATATATTGTTGGTAAATATTGTCCTCCATAATCACTCTCACCAATCAACAGTGAGTTATTTGAAGCTTTTGCTTTGGTAAGTTGTATACGAACTGCTTTGGGCTTTTCTTTTGAAAATTGAGAAAAAACAGTGTCCATATCTTTGAAACAGTTTCCATTCGAGGATGTTAAAAGTGAACTAAAAAAAGGTTTTGTAAAAGCTCTGATAAATTTTATTGGCATGGGGTTGTCACTATTTCCACCATGTTGACAAATGGTTCCAAAAAAATTCTCAAGAGCATCGGTGTTAAATTTTCTAGTCAAGAAGAATGTAAAATTGTGTGAGACATGCAGATAATTCCAGAGACAAACAAGGCATTTATAGATACAGGCCCATCCCTTCAATGATTTTATTCTGCCTGTTATGTGTTTGCTATCTTTCAGCACTTTGATTCCATGGATGAAGATGACTTCTTTAAGAAAGAAATGTGCGTAGAGTTATTTGTAATGGCACTCCTCCATTCTTTAAGTAATTTTAGTTGAGGAACTGTTGACACAATCAAAAGTGAATCAAACTTAAAACAACTATGCTGTGCCCAAGGCTGATGGCGGCAAGGCTTCAATTGGTGAATATATGCAAATAAATTCAACAACAGTGTGACTAAAATTTGTGGCGTATTTAACTTTCATTTTTTGGAAATTGGTGGGGTGAAGGTGCTTATCAGTAAGTTTTGGTGCTGCCCTGATTGACAGTGACTTATCTTTTTCTTAACATTTTTCAATGTCTTTCCAGCAAGCAGAATTTTTTTCAAATTGAAAAGTGCTGTTCATGAATTGTTTTGAATGCACTACGGCAAATGGGGATAATCATACATTAGAAATATTTTGTATAATTTTGAAAAAACCATGGTTTTTGCTAAGTGAAACTCAGTTTTAGTGATATGCTGTAGAAGTTAGACCCCCATATCTGATATCACCACACAAATGTTGAACTCAATAGAATTAACCTCAATCACTTCCTTGATTGAGTCTTGCGAAACATCAACTAGACAAGCTTCATTTACCCGTACATTATCCATAGGTTGTTTTTAACCTCCAGATATGCTTCGCAGCATGAATGCAAGACATGATGTTGCCAATTTATTCGTCCGATATCCCCCAAAGTCCTCTAAACCAACAGTCTTCTCTTCTGTGATGTTGTAGTACAGTTGCGTTTTCAATGTTATCTCGTCAACACAAAGTGTGCACAGTTTTTCCATGTCATCCATGTAACACACCCTTTCCTTCAACAGCTGCTAGGTTGCTGGTGGAATACTTGCTGCTATCTTGTTGAAAGTTTTGTTGGCAGAATAAAAAGCTTGGAGAGGAGACTATATGCTTTGCCACTAGCGTGATACAATGAAACTGCCAAGAACTTCATTTCTGGTGAGTTCCTTCTTCCATGTTCTTTTGCTGAATGTAGCTTTACTTGCTGTTTTATAAAGTTTTTTAGTTCAGTTGATAATTCTTCCAATTCAGCATTCAGTGACTCATTTGTTGTTGTGTTTTTTCTTCCAAATTTATTTATTCTTTTATTTAGCCTTGCAACTGTTTACTGTTTTGCTTTCATCGTTTATCTTTGACGTTTTTTTTCTTGGTGTGTCATTTGAAAGTCAGGAAGGTGTTGACTACAGAAGTCTTTCTTTTCTGTCTGTAGCCCATCTTTTAAAACTGAATTTATTAAAAATTATTAAATCTTAAATTGTTTTGCTAAGTTTATCTTAAGGCTTGTAGCATCTACCTTATTTATTTTGTGAATGTTGTTCATCTTCCTCACTGACATTTGATTGAACTGTTAAATGTGTTGTCGCACTTGATATCTCTTTTCTACATTTTTTTAGCACCTGAAGATGAAGGTCTCTGCTTAAGTGTTTACTTGCGTAATGTATTGAAATACCTGGTTGAGAATTACCTGTTTCTTCAGTATGGATTGCTCTTCTTTTCTGGCCAACTGTAGGTGGCGGATTTGAAATATTGTACAAGGTTGGCTTAGTCTGGACTTTAAGCATGATTTTTCAAAGTTGAGAAACATACATTCTTCAAAATGCTCTGCACACTATGTGCAGTTATTATAAAGATAATCTGCAGTTTTGTCTAACATGTCCTGCCATCATGTGCTGTGAACCCATTCTTTTGATCTAAGGTCATGTGATAGTCATAAGAAGTTGTAAAGTTTGCTTTACACTGAAAATATAGAACGTTTTATTTTACCTCAGTGAATAACGCGGAAAACGAGAGAAGTTTATATCAGGTCGAGTTTTTGCTGTTAGAGCAGTTTACTGCTGAACAATAGGTCCTTGCTCCACCTTTTATAGTTTATGCATTTTATTTGCTACAGAAGTTCGACGTTTGGAACAACATTGAAGTTTTGTGGATTAGTTAGCAGGTGCTGTCGAATATTCGACACATGCCACACTTGATTCAAGTCTGCCGGATTTAATTGTCTCAGAGTTGCATTTTCATGCAGTTAATTTGTGAATTATATTCGGCACATGAAAATGCGACGTTTTAAAGTCATGAAGATGTTTTGGATGGATTTTTGGAGTACGTCTTTGACTACGAAGCGGCTATTCTTCGACATGGGCTTCAAAACGCTAATAATAAAGTGTTGAAAAGAAAAGTACAAGAAGAATTTTTGGAATACCTTGCGTCAATATTGTATCAGAACTTTGCCCACAGCCAATACAATGAAATCTATGATAATGAGCACATCAAAGTGTGAATTATTACAGAAAGTCAGTAGATCTATTGGGAAAGTTTGCAAAGGAATTGTAGAGATGGCCAGCCAACTTATTGAAAGTACAAGTATAACAAGATATATTAGCCAAGATATATTAGACTTGATCTTATTCCTACTTCAAGAAAAGTACTTGCTCTTATCCGACCTGTTGTCGACGGTGAGTTAACAAAACTTCAAGATGAAGTACTGCAACATTTTCAAAGATATATCAATGCATCAAATCCTGAAACAATAAAGTGTCTGTTTAAATTTATCACTTGGAGCAATTACGTAATTGCTGAAGAAATAAAAGTAATTTTTCACTTAAGCATTGGAAGTATTCCATGCTTTATTTTCCATACATGCAGTTGCGCAATTGATCTTGCACTTGCTGTCATATGACGGCTAAGGTTCCCCCCCAATTACCAATGAAATCATTGCTAAAATTCTTGGCAAGAGCATCATATTTTTGCACAAATTGACTTTGATATGTTACAGACGGGCCTGCATTTCATTTATCCTTTACTTATGATTATTGACTTAAATTTCTGCAGAGAAATCTCTACACCAGATGGCTTGCTTTGCAACATCAATTTATTTTTCTCAAGACGAGATAGTTTTGCTTGGTTGAAAAAATCGCACTTTAGTTAGCAGCATACATATTGACATTTGGAATTGTGAAAGATATTCCAAAATTCAGTGTTGATTGTAGTTTTAATCAGGCTTTTGCAAATTAGCTATTATGAAACTATTAAACATTCAATTCAGACAGTAAGCTTGATTATGTTAGCTCAGTAGGCTATTAATCAAAATCCGTCAAGCTATTTACAATAAGAAAAAAACTTAAACGAACCAATTGCAAGATAGAATTTGGACTTCTTATCCATAACGCAGCTGGCTTGCCAGTAAAGATCATTCCATATCAGTCAAAAGCATCCACTGATCTGGATATTGAACATTGAATTGATGCATATGAGCGTTCTTTGTCTTCCTTATGCGTCAATCAGTTAATCCATTCTACTTTTATCAGTCAGTCACTTACTATTCCACATATTTTAAAATTTCACGCATCTTGTTCGCAACGCGATGTTTAGTAGAAATATGAAATTTGAAACATCAAACATGCAAAAAATACATAACATTATTTACTGATGAGAAAATGTCGAAATGGAGCGCAACATCATTACGTATATCATTTACGTGAAGAAAAGTCTTCTACTGTCTTATTTAGCACTTCGAAACCCTCTTATTTACTTCAGGTAATATAATGCAACCATACAAATTTCTTTTTTAGAGGTGTGATAAAGATATATGAGAAATATGCTGTGTTTTAGAGAACAAAATTAGGGGAAGTCAATAAATTAAATGTGCGAAATTAACTTTGCAGTGCACCAGGTGGGATTTCTTGCTGGATAGCGTCGTGGATATTAGCATTCACAGCTGCCGTTTGAGACCACCCATCACCATAGCTTTCGATTGGATATGCCGGTTCGCCATGTTTGGGCACGTCCAGTCCTGTGGACAATACAATACTATGAGTAAGTTATTAAAGTAAATGGTTTGAACCCGAGAGTATCGTAACATGTTTGTGGATGAAAATCGTCCAGGCTAGTAGAGTCCTGAGAAGGACTGTTGGTGTTGATGTAGACTAACGTTTCAACAACCATAGCGGTAGTCATCTTCAGAGTCAAGTGAGGAGTAAACGTCAGGTTAGCCGTATTTGTTATCTGTTTCTTACGTCATCGTATTGTGTGTACAGGAAATGTGCTGGTGTTTGGGTTTCAATTGTGTATTGTTTTTGTGGATTAGTCTAAAGTAATGTCACAGTAATGTGAGCTTATCTCGCGTATCTTACGACAATACAACATGCGTGTCACACATAAACCAATCACAACGCTACAATAAATGCTAACGAACATCAAAAACAAAAAACAACCTAATGAACAACAAGGCTCAGTTTACAAAATAAACTGCTCCGACTGCCACGCCTCCTCTATCGGGGAGGCTGGCAGGTACTAAACATGGACTTACATCAGAAAGTTGGTACACCAACTTAGAACAAACCCCCTGAACAGATCACAACAATTACCGGCACCTTACAAACGACTCCTTCACAATACAAACAAACAAGCAACTAACACATTACTTTAGACTAATCCACGACAACAATACACAATTGAAAGCCACAAACCCACACATTTCCTAAACACACAATACGATGACGTAAGAACCAGATAACAAATACGGCCAACCTGACCGTTTTCTTCTTACTTGACTATGAAGATGAATACCGCTAAGGTTGTCAGAACGTCTGTCTGCATCAATACCAATAGTCCTTCTCAGGACTTTACTAACCTGGACGATCTTCATCCACAAACGAGTAACTTATTCTTGCCCCTTAAAATAATTACTTGATTTTGTGTCTGCATTTTTCAGATAATATACCTTTCAGCTCAATATGACGGGGGACGCGTAATAATCCAGAAATGCGTAACAATCCAAAAATCAGAAATCCCCAAAATGCTGACCAAATTGTAATGACAAATGCCCCGAGAAGGTTCCAACCAAACTGATTAAATGATTGATCGCTCCACTTATAAAGAACGCCCTTGTCTGTGTTAAAAAGCGTCACAGCCATTACTCCCCATAAACCACATCCGTAGTGTACTAAAGGGTAATTAAATCCAAATATTTAAATTTGTTTCTCATGTTGGAGACGAAATGCGAAACTCAAATTTAAATTCTTAATCATTATCTTCCAACTCTAAAATACATTAAAGATATTTCTGAACAATTTTGCATCTAACAAGTCAATAAAATAGAATATAAGTAAAACTTTTACATCAAATGCAAATGAGGATCTGCTTGTAAAATTGCCTTGTAGGAACACAAAAGAACTACAAGCAGCTTTCTATGTTGTCGCTTTTTGAATGGTCATCAATACATTTAAAAATTATAACGGTAAGCTATATAAAAAAACAACACTAAACGTGAGAGTGAAATGATGCAAGACTTACGCCTTTGTAGCATTCGTATTGTGAAAGCTGACACTCACAGTCAGATAGTAGGCTTTATAATCTTGTGATGGCTATTTTTACTATACTGGTTACTTAGTTTGAATTATTTTGCAAAAATTTTGCCATTTATGGAGAAAAAAATTGCCATTAAATAGTAAGAGCCAATTAATGTTTAGAATACGAGCATTATTTAAACCTCTAAGAAAAGGACATCTATGGCGGTTTTACATTATCCTATCAAGACATTTTATCGAACGTATTAATTGGAGAGAGTTTTCACAAGCATGCACAATGTTGTTTTCTATCGCCATTATGCCAAAGAAGAAACTAAGTATATTGTTAACGAGAACTTTAAAACTAGACATATAAAAACAAGGCATACTGGCAGCAAATTAAATTACTATTGTCTGCTCTATATTTCTGCACTATATTAGCATTTAACTAATACCTGCAACGGCATCAAGTGGATCGTCAACTTTAAGTTTCTCAAGGACAAAACTCCATAACATAAAGACCATACCAGCAATAAGACCAGTAATGAAGGCAGCATAGGTTTCAACAGAGTTGCATCCAGCACATATGGAGACCTTCAAAAAAGGTAGTTTAACACCTCTGCACTGTAGATATATTACTACAAATCATATTCGCATTTACGCACTTTTCATTACAGTTATTTAACCTATTTTATTCCATTTACTTGATCGCACAATCTAGAAATCATTTCTAGCGTTTTTTTTTTTTTGAAAAAAGTGAACATTATTAGATCTAAACTATAATATATAAAAATAAATTTTCTTGTCATTGAATATTACCATGCCTGAAAGTCCTCCATTAATAGTTGTCAGTAAACTCCAGTGTCCATCAAACAATCCCGTCGCAATTCTTTTCATCAACATGGTTGTGACAGCTCCACCAGCACCTATTAAAAGATAGAGTAGTTGATGTGACAGTCTAATTTTATAAGCAAAAACATTTATACGAGCTAGTTTCATTTTAAATAATTCCTTTTGACAAATTCATTTTATGCCTTTACATTTGGTGCATGTTCATTTCTTGCTATTTCTATAAAAATTTAGTTTGTAGCCTAAAAAATCTTTAAATGCTTAAAATGTAATGTTCTTTATCAAAACTTGCATGCATAAAGACAAGAGATTATTTGCAAACACGTACCAAACAAAACAGATAATTCCATGCAAATTTCAATTTTCAAATAAGCGATTTAAGTAATTTTATTTAACAGTGCTTGTTCCAAAGAACAAAAATTTGTGTCGTGCTGCCTTTTAATTTAAATTCATTGCTAGAATGACTGGAAAAATTACATTTGAATTGTACAGCAAACGAGCATTATGAGGAAAATCAGGTTATTTGATTTAAGAAACTCACGTCAAATATTCAAAACAAATATTAAAGGCAGTAGCGGATCTGGATTAGGTCAGTATATACTACTGAGAATACATTTCCTTTTAAAAATGTTTGAACTAATCCTAATGTGTTTTAGCAAGAAATAATAAGTAAAATTTCTAACTAACAGCGTTGTTAACAGACGAATTTTGAATTTAAAATGACCTTCTGCAATATATTTTACTAATACTAGATCCGCTACTAACTAAATGCGTACTTCTTTTCATTAGGAAAATGAAACCAAAAGTTTCAAAAACCTGATAGAATCGTGTTAACAATGGCAAGTGCAACAACACTTGCATCGCCCGAATAGGAAATAGTTAATTGTGATCCTCCGTTGAAAGCAAGGAATCCAAAGAAAAGGATGAAACCACCTAACGAGACCATCTAAAAACGAAGTTAAGAACACCTTGAAAAACAAAGAGTTTTACTGAATATTTTATTTAAAAAATAAGTACCTGCGTACATGTGGTTAGCCGATGAAGTATATGGCTATTAATGAAGTAGATTAATAAACATGTAGCTCAAAAATATTATATATTAAATAATAATTGCACCAAACTTGTTCGAAAATTATGAAAAGAGCTATGTACTCCCTGACTAGTCAAATGGCTGGCCAACACTACGGTGACATGTGAACCAAGCAGTACATAAACAATGTTAACAAGTACTAAACTGGACTAATTACTAAAATTTGATTAATATTGCTATAGAGATGCATCCCACGAGTTTTTTCGATTGCAAAAAACGAGGATGAACATTCCACATAAAGCAAGTATTTCGATGTATTTGATGTTGCTTCACCGGAAAATTTTGCAATAGAGGCATTTTTCAACGTCATATGTATAGCCGACTATCCCATACGATTACGACAGACAAACAGACACTTTTCCCTGTTGCATGGTGGTTAGCCGTGCATGTGCAGTGGCTACCCACAAAAATCATTAAACATTTGCCCCATAAAAATAATTATAGTTTTCAAAAATAGCTCAGTAAGAGTCAGTTTAAACTATACAGCATTGCCCACAAAATCCTTTTATTTGTAATTGTGTCATTGTTATTCCAGAAAAGTGGAGTCCGTCAAAGAAAAAGATTTTTGAAATCCTAAACTTTACAGTTAATGCCTAATTGATTTTGTCGTGACTCTACATATGTAACATTGAACGTATGTGATTATCAATTTCCTTTCACATTCTGCAGTATCATTTTTGGTATAGTTAAACGTTCAATTTTTTTATTTCTATTGACTGTCTACACAGCAATCACAATTTCTGAAATCCCTAAAATTACTCCATTTATTGTTGTTTCACTTTTTCTAAAAGATTAAATAGATTCGGACTTGTGCCAGAATATTCAATTTCAATTTCGCCAAAATTTCCAAGCAATTCATTTCTTGCGCATTAATTTAAATAAAGAACAATGTTTGTAACGGCGTTAGCCTTTCAGAAAATAACTAAGAAAGTAATCATTAGATAATTCCAATCACTTACTGGGACTGTGTGCCCACGTATAGACTGGTCATTCGTCTTATCAAATCGTCCAATACGTGGACCAATACATATCGCACCAGTTAAGGCAAGCATACCACCAACCATGTGGACAACACCACTACCTGCAAAATCTAGGTATGCAACGTCGCTGTTTCCTGCAACAAGCCAACCTTCATTAGACCACGCCCAATGTGTAACCACAGGATACACAAATCCTATTAAATGAGAGAGACTAGAGAATTACATCACATTTTAAGATTGAATGACTGATACAAAACACACAATGTAACAAAATACACTTTAATTGTTTTAAAGATAATTCATAAACTACGAAACAACATAACGCCCATCCAAATGTTATCATTGAGTGTTGCTAGAATACTTTGCAAGAATAACATGTCTATAAAGGTATAGTTTATACGTCTCATTGACATCGAAATCATGCCGTCAAAGATCATTTCGATGGTTTAATTTACGGAAATTCGATGAATAAATTGGTTCGATTTGAGGTTGTCACTTAAACTGACCAATACCTCAAAAAGTTTTTCTTGCAAAGTGAAATCTCAGCTTTTTTTCTAGTATTTTAACGCATAGATGAATTGATTTCATGTTCTCAGTTACTAAAGTAAATGAAAATTCTTTAGGCTAGAAACAGAATGTTAAGTTCTAATGGTTTTTCTTCGATCAACGCACGATCTGTTTAAGAGAATTCAGCCGAAGTCAAAGAAGAGAATCCTCAGATATTAGACATCTTAAAGACGAAACAAGAAGAAAACTGGACATTATTTTTAGTAATGACGACTACGCAAAAACGAGAGTTTTCGTTCACAAACAACAAAAGAGCAACAAATACTGAACTATAAAGATACTTGTTAGAATAAATCACCATTTCCTATACAGCACAGCAAATGAAAGCAAGTTCAACTGTTGCTGTTCTATGTGCGAAAAAGTTGCAAAAAAAGTTGCAAAAAAACTGTTCGAATTGCCATTGACATACAGCGTTTATGTAAGAAAAAGCGTACAAAAAGTGGTTTTGCGCTCAGTTTCCATACATCGAAAGCCGAGATTTATGTCAGCCAGAACAAGCTTAGAACCATCAGAAGGCCCAAGTTAAAGTTTGATAAGTTCACCTTTTAATGAAGATAAAATTTAATGGTAAGGATGGTGAAGATGTTGATACAACTCATAATAAACTTGAAGAACACTCTATAAACATGTTTGCCCGTGTAAAAAAAAGAAAAAGAACCAGCAGTGTTCCTGAGTCACAGTCAGTAAAGTGTTAAAACTTGTGCAAACAAAGATTGAAAATAATGGCACCAAAGATATTTTAGAATTTATACAAGAAAATGCAGAGATGTCTCGACAGACAGAAACAAACACCTTCTAAAGACTTTATCATATTAAAATCATGCAATGGATGCAATTTCAAGGCTTTTTTGCTCAGCCCATATTCAATACCGAAAGTCCCTCAGCCTAGCAATTTTACCAATGCAACAGTATTCAAGATTGGGAGGGAATTACACATTTCAATCACAAATGAGCTCATACACAAATTGTTGACTAAAACTGAATTATTAAATGTTAAGAACGAAGTTGTTATTTTGTTATAGGAAATTTTTTTTATTTGTATTGAAATTATATGTGTAATTACATTTAGTTAAAGTAACTATTCGAATTAAGTTTTTTATAGCGAATCCATAAAATAAAGTAAAATAAAATAAGATCAGCCAATTAGTTATTATCATTACATTTGTACTCATCATAGAAAATATAAATAATCTTTTTTTGTTGATTTCCAAAAAACAATGAAATATTTGTAAATTCACTTTTATTTTTGATACATTTTTAAATTCATTTTTCTGACTAGAAGTTTTTAATGTTGTACCTGTAATTAATCCTGAGTATATTAGATATGCCATGAATTCAGCTCTTTCAGCTATAGCACCACTCACAATTGTGGCAGCAGTAGCCGCAAATACAAACTGGAAAAACCAGAATGCGTATGCGTCACTGTTAAGGTCAGCTAGTGCAAAATCTGTATGACCAATAAACCTTTCTGCTTCTCCTTTGATGTCATTCATGTTGCCACCAAACGCAAAAGCAAAACCAAATAACCAATAGATTATAGCACCAATAACTAAAGAAGCACAATGTTTTTCTGATGTAACGTGTGAAATAAGCTCTAAAAAAATGTTTTCTGAGCTAATGAAGCAGAGAGACCAAGCTAAAGCTAACACAGCTTTCTCATTTTTTAAAACTGTAATTGCTCATATGCATCACACGTAGTTGATCAACCGAAATTTAATTAATAAGCAAGTGTAATTCTTCCGTATGCTATGACCAGAAAAATGGGAAAAAAATAAAAAATTTCATTGTGCATTTCTTAGAACTTACTAACTTTTTAAACTTGTCATTTTACTACGCTGAATTCAAATCTGAAGAGTTCCCAAGTCGAAGACCCAGATTTTTTGTAATTCGCAGTTTTAATCGTGACTCATTAAGAATAAAAAGTGTGATCCTCAATTTACTCGAAGGATAAAGAAAAAATTTCATTAGTAGAACTTAATTAAATTATACCTCAACCCATTCGAATTTAACACCGTATAACAATATCGTAAAACGATATTAATTATTAATAATTAATAATTAATAATAATTTATTATGATTATTATTATTATTAATAATAATAATAATTAATAATTAAAATTATTATTTATTATTTATTAATAGTAATTAATAATTAATATTAATTATTATATTGTATTGTTACCGTATTTTTCACGATATTGTTTGTGAAACAAACAATACTTCAATGTTTTTTGCCAAATATTTAGGCTCATTATGATGCCAAATATCATATATTATGATTCCAAATATTATATGGCTCATTAGCATGGTTAGGAACGTAAAATTTATTTTACAATAAATCTATTCCAAAAAAGATATAGTCTTTTAAAATTTCTACCAAGTTGTCAGGCATAGACCCCATAGAGACCCCATTCAAACCTCTATGTAATGAGTTAAGTTAGAAATTTGGTACTACAAGTGACAGTTCATAGATATAGAAAAGCTCAAACTTCAAACCATGCAAGTTTATTGTAACCCTTTACCCATCTCCACATCAATGCCAGCAAATTAACCTTTTGAGAAAAAACTCAAAATTTTTTTCTGTCAAAGATTAAGCAAAAATTAAGTAAAGATTAAGTGAGATATTATTAATATTTTAATTATTATTATTATTATTATTATTATTATTATTATTAATTATTTAATAATTTATTTAAAATTATTAAATTATTAATTATTATTAATATTGGTATAACAATTACGTATAACAATATCGTAATTTAATATCGTATTGTTTGTTTCTTTCACAAAGGAAAGAGCAAAATTATTAATATCGTTGATCCGTCACAAAAAGACTCTCATTTGCGTCGTGCAATGTAAGTTAAAATTTGTTTTGAAATTCATAAAAGTGCAGTAACAAAGGACTTGTTTTATAAAGTCTGTTTTAAACTAACGTTTAGAAAAGTACAACGTCTTTAGAGTCAAGCAGCACCAGCCTTAACGAGATAAATGAAACAGCTGTCGTTGTGTATGAAGAAAAAAACAAAGAGGAGTTGGAGTCATGTGCTGTTTCAGAAAATCCGTTTACTATTGAAGACAACACGTCTGGTACACATGAAATAGCAGAATTTGAGGCAATGGTAGATGATAATATAAACGAAGAAGTGGAACTTTGTGTGGCTATTGAAGAACCATTATTTGTTGACGACGACACTTCTGTTAACAGTCACGCAGCGAGATTTGGAGCAGTAGAAAATAGTTGTTTGCTGAGTGATGATAGTTCAAATGAAGAGGTAGACGTTAAGATTAAATCATGTAATACTTATTTTATTAGTCTTTTGATTGTTCAGAATAAAAATACGAATCTTTTTTAATACGAATCTTTCAATTGTCATTTATTCATCTGTTAAAAGCAGGTTTTTGTATTTACTTTACTGGATGTGTCTTTTTTACAATGTCTTTATACGTTTAGGCTGCACAAAGTGAAAAATCATCAAACTGTGATTCAGATAACCAAGAAGATCGTATTTAATTAAATCCATCGAAAACAATCAATTTAGCCTTCCCCCTTCCGTCGCATAGAATGAAACTTTTCAGATTCGACGTATTATACTAGACAGAAATTTGACATATAAACTAGGTCTTATGGACTCAACACTTTGTATGAAATTGGACATTGAAGTTTTTCTTTCATGAATTTGCTTGAGAAAAAAGAATTTAAATCCAGTGAAATGGCAAAAAAAGACAAGCACTGTCGATACTGTCTGTAAATTTACATTCCGATGAAAAAAGTTTTTTGATTAAACTTTTTCTTCTCATCTTTTCTTATTATACAGTCTTTTAAGTGGACAATGTAATTTTTAGTTGCTTTTTCTCATTGCAAGTTGCAAGGTACAACGAATCCAAAGTAGTAAATTTTCAGCTGTAAAAAATAATCTTTGGTGAAGAGTTGATCTTTGTCTGAAGTTTTTCAGGGCGTTGCTTACTAGTTTTATTGTTGCCGAGTAGGTTTTTCATTCAGGAGAGTAAAACTGACGTACAAACTTCGAGTGTATTTAACTTTGAAAATCAGGAACTGAGATATAAATCTTGTGACTGTTCAACTTTGAAGGATTGAAACTAACGTACAAACCGCGCAAAAAGGCTAGGACTTAGGCTTCGTATTTAGATTTATAAACCTTATGGTTGTTATTATTCTATATAGTGCTACGAATAAAGTTTTTCTATGTTTCTCCGGATAAAATAAAGATGGCAGCTTTTTATTATGATTGAGTGATGATAAAAACTGCGAATTACAAAAAGGTTCGGGTCCACGACTTGGGAACTCCACTATTGATTCAGCGTTGTCGAAAATAGCAAGCTGAAAAAAGTATTCAGTTCTAAGATGTGCCAAATAATGCTGAACGAAATCGTACCACAACTTACGGATTAAACTGTGCACAAGGTACCTAACTCTGTATGTCTCCACTTTGCACGTTCTACCATGAGATTGTGCTATGCCCAGGAAAAAATAAAATCTACATAGGTGAGCGGGTATTTCATAATTAATAAACATCCGCTTCCTCCAGATCAAAATTCTTAAAACTCACGACTTTGAAATTTTACACACGTCACGTTGTACCGGCAACCGATAAAATATACTTTTACGTGTACTTACATAAATCCAGGGTGTTCTTTAGCAAAATATTTGTGGTGTTTTTTGATCGAACTGATCCAGCCTCAAGAAATGCAAAACCGGCTTGCATAACTAAGATAAAAATAAAAATTTTGTAAAATATTTTATTGTCTTTCATTGCACAAATATGCTTCACATTTAACTATGTCATTAAAAGTTGATGAAAGCATTTTCCTAAGCTTGGATTTATTTAATGCAGCTTATTTGATACTTTTTTCAGTCTTTTAATTCGATAAGCTTAATCTGATATAAAATAAGCATCTTTTACTTGTGTTGTTTGACACTAGTAGTCCAGAAATGAACAAATTCTGCAAGTGATCTAATATAATCACTAATGTGACAGCTAATGGATATCGAGTGCTTGGTAGTGGGAACTATGTAGCAGGTATCGGGTATTGAATACCAGGTTTCATGTTAATATTACTGTGTAACTGGTACCGGCTCACCAGGCACTGTCAAAAAAGTTATTTATTGCATTTTTCCTTTAATATGAAATAGTTTTATTAGTTAATTAGGTTAGAGATCCAGCACCTGCAAAAATTGTTCATAATTTTAGTACTACAGGCCGGGCAGTAAAATAGTCTAAAATAGTTCGAGTTCCTAAACATAAGTACAACTGTAAAACGAACATTATCGAATTCAATTATACTATATTTTTTTACAAAACATGTACACTGCTTAGTGAAACTTCACCTGCATGGCCAGGAAAGTTATACTTTATATAAGCAACTAGCTTGCGGAAACTTTACGAGTCAGCACATTGCATTCTACATATGCAAATACACGTGTAGACCCTACGCCAAAAAAGTGAGAAATTTTTCTATACTGTATTTCCATCATGTTAATTTAGCTCGAATATATCTTTCAAAATTGAATACTTAAAAAACACCCTAGATTTATCATATTTTAGTATTGGAGAAATCAGTAAAAGAAAACGGATTGGCAAAAGGGCATGAGGAATTGTATACAAGAGGAGATATATTGATTACATTGCCGTAAATTAAAAGCTTTGTTGAGATTCCGCTGAAAAAGAAAAATGCTTTGTATAAGAGGCAAGATTGTTGTTTTCGCTGAAGCACAATAGTATCGCTTCCGCATCTTACCCGTGTCCAATCATGATGGGGTATTTATGCTTTAATTTTGTATATTCAAAATAAAGAAAGTGTTCACTATCTTAATAGACTTTCTTAACTTTGTCCACTAGAGAGACGCTTTTAGTTTTTACAGGTAATCTAATTCTAAAGGTTTCATCCAAAATTTGCAAAGGACTAGAATATTTACATTTGAGTCTGACGAAGACATCCAAGAACATGTGTTAGAAAAATTGATTAACAAAAAATCCTAAGGATAACCATTTTGTAAGAAAGTACAAATTATTTCAAGTAATGTTTCGCCTTTACACAAGATATCATCAGACTAATAAATAAAAATTGTAAAGATGTTCGTCTATGCATAATTAAAGATTTACATGTTAGGAACGTGGCTATAAGACTTAGGGAGTTTCGTGTGATTATTAAAGCAAAAAATATAAGAAAAAATATAAAGTATGAAATGTTAGTGAAGATACAGATGCTACAAATGAACATAATGGTGTACTTAAAAAAGGTCAAGTGGAATGGATATGACTTTGATATCCGGTGTGGGTGCTAGTTTTGAAATTAGGAGGCTTTGATAAGTCATCGGGAGGCTTTCGTGGATCATTTGAAATGTTACCTTAACTATATTGAAATTTCTTACAAAATTGCTTTTGTAGAATTCTATGATTTACAATTTTTTGGCATAAATCCGTTTCATGCCTTACAAGTCAGTCGCTCCTATCCAGGAGGCTCTCTATGCAGTAGTTTGAAATGATCCAAGAAGAAGTAAAGCTAGAAATTTAATCCATTGTTTAAAGCTTTTTTCAAAAATTGTGTATTTTATTTATTTCGGTCATGTACTATATCCATATTTTTCCTGTCACTTTCCTGGAAACAGTCCCCAGAAAAAATTTAAGACCTCGGTTGAATTGAAAACAACTTTGAAGTGACCTAAAGTAAAGGTTTGAGAAGATTATATAAATCTGTAAGTACTTTCATTCATCTTTCTTGCCTATCTTCTTCCTCCAATATCACAACAAGAGCAAGTTCCCAGAAATTGTGCAAAAACATGCTTTATCGACTTGACGCATGAGA